GGGGGGGGGGTTGGGGTAGCCAGCACCCCCCCCCCCCACCAACCCCCCTCCCCCCCCCCCCAAAAAAAACTTGGAACCCTCTGGGTACCTGGGAAACCTTTCGGCTGGCACTGTGCCCTGCCTCTCTGCACCCCCCCCCCCAAAAAGCACCCGGGGGCAGCAAAATGCATTTATTTAAATCCGTGCCCCAAGATTACAGAGGAAAGAAATTGGGCTTAATCTAGGGGTTGTGTTATTTTTGAAGGGGGGCAGGAAGATGTTTACCTGGGGATAAGCCTTGCCCGTCAAATTACCCCCCCCCTTTTTCCCCCTGCCAGGGTGGGAAGGAGGAGGAGGAGGAGGAGGGGCTGCCGAGGCAGGAAGGAGTTAAGCTGCCTGCTTGGTGCTTGCAAAAGCCCTTTGCTCCGTCAAGCAGGGGAGGAAAAAAAAAACACACAGTCCAGCAATCTCTAGGTTTCACTCATTCCTGCCCCGTCTCCGCTCCGGGAAGGAAGGAGAGGTGGGCGCCGCACAACTTGCTGAGCTGGGAAGCCCAAGGGACGGCAGGCGTGCCCGCCAGAGACTTAGGCAGCTGGAGAAAGCAACTTGGGAGCAGGAGGGGGATAACCCTTCCTTGTTCCAGGAAGGCAGATCCAAAGGGGGAGTGAGTAGCGGTGGTGGTGGGGAGCTGCTGTACCCCCAAGGCAGAGGAGCGGGCAACTTTGGGCAGCGAGCTCTGGAAGTGGTGCCATGCCAGCGCTCGGCTGAGGGTGCCTAGGAAGGAATTCGGGGAAGGGGAGAGGAATTAAGAGACGGGGTCTTTGGAGCAAGGAGGGGGGGTCTCTAGAGTCAGAGAAAGGTGGGGTACGTTTGGCACCGCGGTGTCCCATGGAGGTGGCGATGCTGGCGTGGGCACTGCTCTCCGTCCTGTCTCGGCGGGACGGGGCGGACGGCGCCAACCTCACCCTCGCCGTCGTCCTGCCGCGCCACAACACCACCTATCCCTGGGCCTGGCCCCGGGTCGGCCCGGCCATCGAGCTGGCCATCCAGAAGCTCAACGCCCAGACGGATCTCCTGCCAGGTTACACGGTGCAGCTGGTTTTCGGCAGCAGTGAGGCGAGCGAAGGCGTCTGCTCGGACTTCATGGCGCCTTTGGCTGCTGTCGACTTAAAGATGGCCTACGACCCCCAGGCCTTCGTGGGGCCCGGCTGCGTCTACACCGCGGCCCCCGTGGCCCGCTACACCCGGCACTGGGGCCTGCCCCTGGTGACGGCGGCGGCCGAGGCCGTGGGCTTCAGCCTGAAAGCGGACGAGTACGCCTTGGTGACCCGGACGGGAGCCAGCCACAACAAGCTGGGCGAGTTCGGGGTCAGCCTGAGCCGGCATTTCAACTGGAGCAGCCAGGCGATGTTGCTGTACTGGGATAACAATACGGGCGAGCGGCCCTGTTTCTTTGCCGTCGAGGGTCTCTACGTCCAGCTGCCCTCGGTGAACAACATGACGATTGAGGTCGTGCCTTTCATGTCGCCGAACTACACCGACCTGATCCGGGATATCAAGCAGAAAGCTCGGAGTAAGTTCTCCGCCGAGTGGGGGGCATCCTCCCCTCCGCGACCTCCGGGAAGGAGGAGGAGGAAGAAGGGGGACCTTTCCTCTCGGAGTCCCACGTCGAACCCGTTTTCCACGCTTGGGGAGGGTTGAAAGAGTGCCTCTGGGCATGGGCAGAAAGCTTCTCTTCCCCGCGGAGTCGATGGAGAGAAAGTCAATTCCCGTCACAAGCCGTCGGCTTCTCGGAGGGACGGCTGTGATTTGCAGATCACGGCCGTGGCGAAACGGTCGTGACAGGGTCAGGTGGGATTCGCTTAACAGCCTCCTCGCTTAGCAACGGAAATTCTGAAATGTGACTTGCTTAACGATCTCCTTGCTCAGCACCGGAAATTCTGTGCAGCCCGCTTAACAACAACCTCATCGCTTAGCAATGCAAATTCTGCATGACTCGCTTAACAACCTCATCGCTTAGCAATGCAAATTCTGCGTGACTCGCTTAACAACCTCATCGCTTAGCAATGCAAATTCTGCGTGACTCGCTTAACAACCTCCTTGCTT